TTCTTAATATTTTATTATACATCTAACAATATTTGATAGGATTATTGTCTTCTTTGAATAAATATTGTTTTATGATCATATATGTAGGTGCAGGTTTCAAGTAATTGAAACCAGAGCAAATAATTATTTTTAATTAATATCAGTTTATCTTTTTCTTTATCAGTAAAAACCATACATTCATGCAATTGACTAATACAATATAGCTTTCTCTACAAACTCTTTTAAAGGTACCAAATTAAAGTCCACTCCAACATAATCTATATTTCCAGTGATCTTTTCCATAGTGTAGCTACGAGCACCATCCTAGTTTATATAACGGTAATAAATAATTATTATCAAGTTGAGCTAGGTTGGGCTTAACTTCAAAATAATTCATCCGACTATGGCCCGAATGTTAATGGAATGGGCTGGCTTACAGCTTGGGCAGGTAGTTAATTTCATAAACACCTTTACTTTACACCCTCAAAATGGAGAAATATACACCTGTATCCAAGCATCCAAATATATTTGCTTTAGTTTCTATTGTTATGGATCTCAACAATATTGATATTTAAATTGATGATGAGGATTAAGCTTTTTTGATTGTTTTGTGTTCTTTTCCATGTCCATCTGAGAATTTGTTGATACTCATAGTATCTAAGGAAATCCTTTCTTGTTCAAAGCACTCAAGGAAATCAATTTATTACTTTGGACATGTTACCATGATATGTGGCAATCGTATTGAAAATATATCTATAATTAACATGTATGTTTGATACTACCATAATAGTGTTGACATTATTTGAGTCTATGCATTAACCACATTTGCACCATTTTTTGTGTGCACCTATTAATCAACTGTTTTCCTTCTCTTCAAACAATCATATGTCTTGAATTACCACCTTTTGACTTGGATCTCCTTCGTTTAACTAAATCTACACCCTGATTGTTCTCATGTGCCGTACTTTCTTTTTCAACCCAGTGGAACCCAAGGCATTGTTCACCTCCTGGAGAATGCCATTATGATCATAAAGCAAAATACCAACAAAATTCTCATATGAAGGTGACAAAGAACGTAAAATACTCCAAGTTTGGTCCTTGTCATCAATTTTAATATTTATATTATTGAGATCCTTAATAATAGAAGTAAATGCATCAAGGTGGTGGGATATATGTCTACCTTCCTCTATTTTGAGAGTATAGAGCCACTGTTTGGGGAAGAGCCAGTTTGTCAATGTTTGTCATACAATTGCTCTTTAATCGCAGCCACAAACCTGGCACAGTAGTCTCATCTTCTATACCTTGTTATACCTCATCTCCAAGACTAAGCAAGGTGGCAATATGTACCTTTTCCAATTCATCTTCCAAAAGCATGTCTAACAATTTATCTCTGCCACCCAATGCCTTGTACAAAAAAATATGCAAAAGGATTTATGTGGTTCGGTTTCAAAATTATGTCCATAGGTAAAAGCTATGAGAAATTCCATTATAATAGAAATGAGGAAGATTAAAAAGAGTCTTGATACCTAAAACTCACTACACAGCTTCCCCCACAACCACTTGAGAGCTACTACACTTGCTCTCAAACTCCTCTTTTTTTTTTTCCCTTTTCTTTTGCCTCTCTTTCTCAAGACACAACCAAACTTCATTTTTATATTTCAACACTTTTCTACCTATTCCCAAAATCCCCCTACATTCTCGTATTGCCCTTTTAGGCAAAACGAAAGAAAGAACAAGCTAGGATGGTGAAGGAAACTGTTCTCTTGATGCGTCATAGATTGAATATTATCTTTTCAACCTCATATTAGGCCAAAGACACATTGGTAACCATATCAACAATTTAATCAACAATGCAAGCAACTAAAATATCAAGAGCACAAGCCACTCTGCAAGAAAGACAGTTGAAACAGTAGCTTAGATATCAATTTGATGTAAACAATTGGCCCAAACAAGTCAATATGAGTAAATAAATTCATCAAAATAATAAATCAAACATTTATCAAGAAATGATCTGCGAAAATAATAATTAGCACAAACACAAGGACTTATGTGGTTCGATTTTAAAACTAAGTCCGCTGGTAGAATTTCAGGAAATATTACCATAACCAGAACAAGATGAAGATTACAATGAGGTTTGATAGCCAAAACTCACTACACTCACCTACCCCCTCCACCACTTGAGAGCTACTACACTTGCTTTGAAAACTCCGCTTGTTTCTCTTGCCTCTCTTTCTTGAGGCACAACCAAACTTCTCTTTTATATTTCAAAAACCTTTCTACCCATTCCCAAAATCTCCTCTACATTCCCGAATTGCCTTTAGGCAAAAGGAAGAAAAAACAAGCAAAGATAGTGAAGGAAATTTGGGGGAGACAAACTATCAAAATTTTTGAATCATTGAGTGTGATGGGGATCAGACTTTTGACTCTTGGAAACTGAAAATTTTCAGCCAACTACAATGCATCCAAGCATTTAAAAATGATGGGGTTGGGAGCTTGACTTATGGGGGCTGATTACCAGCCACGTTCAACACCATATATGAAGCAAAAGTAGTAGTTATCCTAAAATCAGTTGGGGCTTATGGATAATTGCATTAACCTTCAAGATGTATGGCATACATTTGCTAATGGGAAAAGTATAGTAAATGCTTGCTATGGGAAATTATTCTATGGCTCTCTAATGTGTAATTAATGTGGCATCAGTACCTGCTTTTGGGTTATAAGTCTTTGTTTCTGATATATATTTTTTTAATACTAGTATTTTTTAATTTCAAAGCAAGAAGATGCTATAATTAAAGTCTTGAAATACTATATTCTGGCCTGCTGCCTAAGAATATATTATTACCAATTTCGACGGGCTTATAAGTTATCACTAAGTTAAGATAATTGCATTCTTATCAACAGGATGATTGTACTATGCATTTATCTGAGTATGTGATGGGAGATATGTTTATTCTTTTGCTGCTACTTCGTTTGTGAAGTCTCATGCTATTTTTCTATCTTTTATTGCATAATAGATTTATTTTGATTCTTGATGCCTGTATGCAGATTCTTGAAATGGACACCTACAGGTACCATGGTCACTCCATGTCTGATCCTGGTAGCACCTATCGAACACGTGATGAGATTAGTGGTGTGAGACAGGTTGATACTAAATTAGCTTTACTTTCCCAAGGACTCATTTGTTTAGCGTTAGATATTTCATGTTGTATATTAATCAAGTTAATACAAAGCTAACATCCTAGATGTTATGTTCCTAGGAGCGTGATCCAGTTGAAAGAATAAGGAAGCTGGTATTGTCTCATGATTTAGCTACTGAGAAAGAGTTAAAGGTATGTTGGTTGAGTTCATATATGAATCTATTAGCAGTGAAATGTAGTTAGGTACTTGTTTGTGGTAATAAAAATATCAAAATATTGAGTGTGCCTTTTTTACCTGATTTCAGGACATTGAGAAGGAAGTGAGAAAAGAGGTAGATGATGCAATTGCTCAAGCAAAGGTAATAAGTCTTTTGCTGTCTTATTTTGATTTTTGTATTTCTCAATTTAAATGATTTTACTGAAGTCTATTTGAATGTGTTTTTCTTTCTTTATTATTATTTTTTTGAAGTTTTGTCTAGTTGTTTGTTGACACTGAATGGTTTTTAGCACTGATTCTTTTCCCTTTTTTTTTAATTCCAGGAAAGCCCAATGCCCGAACCTTCTGAACTCTTTACAAATGTCTTTGTGAAAGGTTTGGGTGCGGAGGTAAGAATTATTTGCTTTAGATAAGTATTAATTGTTTGCCCGTCACTATCTTTGCTAATGCTCCTTATTTAGGCCTCTTATGTAAACTATGAATTTCATATAATGAATGCTTTTCTTTTTTATTTTTTGAGTAATGTTGCTTAATACTAAAGCTTAACTTTAGCCCTCCAGTGAGATAAGAACAGTATCCTTAAAATATAGAGTTCTGCTGAAGAGTTAGTTAATCCAAATTGATCTATTTGTTAGCCTATTCTTGTCAAGTTCTTTATCAAAAATGCACAACCTATTACCATAGAAAGTTAGCCGGCTTCTATGTCAATTTGAAAAGTATTATGATGGTCCCTTTAGCTAAAGCATTGCATAATTAACATACACTATCCAATTTCGGGTTTTTATGCTTAAGTTACCAAATCTATCTATCGTGATGATCCTAGCTGCTGATAATAAAGTTATTGATCACATGGGTTGGACCTATGACTTAAATACCTTCATTGCTTGGATAAGGCATTATTTTATGTGGCACTTCCAAGTTCTTGTGCCTGTGCATAAAGGTGATAACCATTGACCTGGCCCAATGATACACCAGAAGCCCAATGCAACATTATGCGTGTGTATTCTTTATTTTGGTACATCATTTGGTATGGAGTATAGATTTATATTTTGCTCAAGTGATTGGATGCTGACACATTCAGTTAGAAAAACAGCTATTGTTTTTTTTCATCCCAATTGATACTGATGGGATATCATGATTTTTCAACTGCAGTCGTTTGGAGCAGACAGGAAAGAGGTTAGAGCTACACTTCCATAAATTGAGACTTCTGTGGAGTATTTTGACCCCATCACTTCTTTTTGACTCCTTACCCAACCATCAATCTTTCGGAAGAAAGAAGAACAATAAAGGACCGAGGGAAGGTGGCCATCTCTTCCCAGCTACCAATTTGATTTTGCACTTCTATTTGTATAGAATACTTGATTCTTCCCTGGTTTACGGGCAGAATTGTAGTATTTTGATTGAGCCAACCGTTTTACATTTCCTATGATTGAGTAGGTTGCTGTTGTGCTCTGCGATGTATGAATATTCTTTTCTTGAAATGCGAAAGAGCATTTTATGCTCACATTTAACAGTACAAAAGGTAAGTATCTTCAGGTTCTCTCTATTGATGACTTTGTCTGAAATGGCTTCAATTTGTATAGAATACTTGATTCTTCCCTAGTTATGGGCAGAATGGTTGTATTTTGATTGAGCCAACGGTTTTGCATTCCTATGATTGATCGCATACTGCTGTCCTCTGCAATATGAATATTCTTTCCTTGAAATGCTTTTTATGCTCACGTTTTATGGGTACAAAGGTAAGTATATTCAGGTTCATTACATCGAAAACTTAGGCCGCAATGTGTTGGGCCCCTTGCTTGGGCAACCTTTCTAACTTTGGGGGTGGCGGTTGTTGGTGTCATGGGGATGATGACCTCCTAAACCACCCGCATTGGACCACACAGCAGAGGATATCATCTGGTGATGATTGATATGCTTTGTGGATGTAGAGTCAGACAACAATCCACCTTTCCCCATTACATCGGCGATGATCTCAACCCAATTGCCCTTTTATGTAGGCACCAACTAGGCTTTGGCCTGCAAGTAGAACAAGAAATGGTTGTGACGGTGCTGATTCCTTGACAAAAGTATTTGTCTGTCATGAAGTCCTTTTGTTGTACATAACTATTTGCTTCGGCATGGTCGGTTTGGAAAGTCATAAAATTCCTTGGGGAAATAAATGACGAATGACAAGAGAATAAAACGAGACCGTAGAATGTGGGTAAGAGAGCGTGACTTTCAGTACATGGTACGTGAGCTTATAAAGAATGGCGGAGGAGGTGGTAATGGTGGCCATGATTATATGATCGGAAAAGAGAAAAGGATAGAGAATCTTTTTAAAAATTCAAAAAAAAAAAAGTAGTTTCAATGTTGAAATCCATTTTTACATTTTCAAGCGAAAATGGATACCATTGCAGGAAAAAGGTGGGAGTATTTATTTGACAGTGGCTTTCTTTCTTCATATTTTGATATTATTATGTTAAAGAAAATTACTACTGTGAGCTCATGTGCAAGCTGTGAAGAAGAGCAGGCAGCAGGAAACGCGCCAGTTTCACGGGCGAGCTGGAAAATCCTCACAATATCACTACTTTGTCCACAGGATCTAAAATCTTTGCGCTTAGATTGTCTTGTGTGGTAGGATAAACAAAAGAGCTTAAAGAGGCCCCACTCTCTCAACTACTGGCCACGTGCCCCACACCATTCCAATGTCTCTTTCTCTCGTTCCATCTCCGACTGTCGGAAGGTATTATTAAAGTCAGTAGTCTCCTCTGATTTCCACCATCATCCTCATCGATCACCTCCCCATTTTAGTACTAGTACTAATGCTACTGCAGCAGTTCTGGCTTCTACCTCAACTACGAGTATCCTATGCAAAATACAATTCAGAAAATTAGAAATAAAATACACCTACTTTCCCAACGTCCCCATCTCCCAATAATCACTTATTTTAATCTCAATATTCACTAACCAAAGACTTGTTTTTTACCTGCCCTAGACCCACACGTGCAGTTAAATATCACATCTTTCTGACTTTGATTAACTTAGCTTTACCTGTGTCTCCTTTGCTCCGATACAAGCCAGGCCATCAGATTTTAGCCTAGATTTACATGCCCTCTGACGGACACTGTGTAACCTATTATTTATTCGGTAACTTTTGCTGCGGTTTCGTGTTATAGTTCAGCAAGTAGAGAATTATATTTCTTTTTGGAAGTTGGGAACTTTTAATTACTTGGCAAACGAGGTCTTGGGCAAATAAAACTTGAACCTTTTCTTGTTTATTTGTAGCAAGTTGGGTTGGTGGCCTGGTGCCCAGAATCGGTGTACTCTGCACTCGAAATTTCCAACTTAAACCTCGCGCTCACACTAATCACTCCCATTTTAATAGCATTTCTCTTTACCTGTTCAAAATTATTTCTTGATAAAATAATATCTGAAGATGTCCTCTTCAAGACATGAAATGGTCACGACCGACCAACCAAACCCCATTAATGTTTTCTATTTGAATAAATATTTTGATTATTTTAAATTTTAATCAAAATTACACATAAATTTATTAATTTTTAAAATAAATGTTTCATCCTAAAAGTTATAAATATCATTAACAGAAATAATAAAAAATAAGAAGCACCGTCAAGAAAAGAGAACATCGATTTGGGGAACCTGATCAAGGGTTCCAAAGGGAGCATTGGGTTCCCTAGGGGAGCACCGGTGCTCTATTAGGGAGCTCGATTTGAGGCTCCCCCCGGGACTCCCAAGGGAGCACCTGATCAAGAGAGCACTAGATCTTGCGCTCTCTAAT